CTTCCTTCGTGGCATTTATTGGTGTGGAAGTTCAACCCCTTCCTGCAGGTTTACTGCAATTCCTGGAGACAGAACAGCTGAAACCTGCATCGTGCTCGTTGTTGTGGGAGAAGGTGGGAAAGGTTCAGGAGGCCAACGAGCCAGTTTGACTGAGAGAAGCAGGTACAACCACCGTGAGTCCGTTTTATAGTTAGAACCATCGACATGTATACTGGACAATTCATTTCCATTGACTCCAATAACAATGTTTTTGTGCCAAAATGGGAGGTGGCCACCACCGCCATTTTGACCGTGTCACAGGTTCTGTCAAGCCCAGACAATTCCACAAAAGGGAAGAGAGGTGGAGCTGAGGGTGGGGCTGTAAGGCTGGGATCAACTGACGACACCCGGTCGAACTAGCTACAAGCTAACCCAAAGCTAACGCGGAGGTGGGAGCTAAGCTAACGGAGGTAGCAACCTAGCTACAACCGGAGTTAACTGTGAACAACACCAGAGCTTCTGAGTCAGAGATACGCTGACCGCTGGGTAAAACCGGGTGGAACACAGAGGTCTTCCGAAAGCTGCTGAAAGCCGGCAGCCCGCGCAGCAGACAGAAGCCGCGATCAGACAGAGATGCGCTGAGTTGCGGGGAGGGAAGAAATGGGTGGAAAACATCAGTCTCCCAAGAGCTCCACAAGCCGATAGTCGGAACCCAGCTCCACCAACATGTTATAGTTCAACCCATTTTCTAAAGTGCAGCATTATGTTAAATGCACTGGGTTTTACCCTATTACATCTAAATTTCATGGTTAAACAGTACATGTTAAAATCTAAACTAAGCTCGGAAGTGACCTAAAATACATAAATATAATTTTAATTACCGAAAAAAATGAAGTGGAGACTCCTTGGACGCTCTATTAGTGCAATTAATGCCATAGCAAGTCATTTTGTCCAACAATTGCACAAAAAATATCCAAAACAGAATACACAAACACAGAGACTCAAAATGCCGGAGCAGTTTCCAAGCCAGACCGAGGCTCTACCGAGGCCTTTCCCCGGAGCTAGCTCTGCGGTCATGTGGGTCTGATGCTCATTAATTGTACAGAATTTTAGGCTTTTAATACACTTAAACAGAAGAGTGAGAAAAAAATCATCCCCCTCAGAGTTGTCATGAGTGTAAACTAGATCATTTAAACCAAAAACATGTTTTGGTACCAGGCTGTAAACATGTTTATCTCTGCTGTGAAATTGGTATTTTTAACATGGGAGTCAATGAGGTTTTGCTCACATCTGACACCAGCCCCCAGTGGATGAGGGTGGAACTGCAATTTTTGGTACTTCCGGGTTGGGCTCAATTTTTGAGCCGCATTGGTGGGGGCTTGGTTAGAACACAGAAACAGGGCTCGGATGTAGATCTGACCTATTAATATGATTTTCTGTAGTTATTTAAAGTTTCCATGAATAAAATAATATAAAATCAGGATTTTTGTAGTTTTTATGTTGAGCTTAATTGATGCCGATAGCTGTTTTTATTAGTCGCTCATAAACAGAAAAAAACACGAAGGTTTTGAATATTTAGAAGTTAAAACTAAAAGTCAAAAGTAATGGCTAAAAATAAAAAGTTTTGAAGTAAAGTTCAAATCCACTAAAGCACAAGATGCTTCTGATTTTTGATATTTGTCCTTTATTAAGATAAAATGTTTTCCTGTGTTGTGCAGGGTCGCAGTATTCTTATCTGTGAAAGGCCCTTTATAAATAAAATAAACTGAACACAATATTTTAGTGTCAGGACGATACAATTCTTTTTTGATGCAAAAAACATGAATACAAACAATTACACCGCAACATTTTTATTTCCTTTGATATTTATTAACATCCTTTAAACTCTGTTTATGATCTAAATAATATCTAAATGCACAGATTATTTTATTTGTCTGTTTTTGAATTTTTGTTTGAATTTAAAAACATGTCCACCTGGTGTCTTCGTTTCATTTGCTGTTACTCCATAAAATCCACATTTAGCGCTCACGTGTCCAACTGAAGACCTGTCCTGCAGGGACTCTTTGTCCCTAAAGAGGACGTCGGCTTCTCGTTCTGTTAATCCTGTTCTAATAGAGAGAATAAACTTACATTTAAAAATTCTTACATCTGTAAGGTCTTACCAAAATAGCCCCACCACACACACACATCGGTCTTTCTGTCATAGTGAGGACCATCCTTTGACTTCCATTCATTTTTGTGAAGGCCTAATCCGAATCAATGCTGATCTATTCCTAACCCAAACTTTAACTACAACTTAATTCACACCTCTAAAACCAACTGGTAAGCTTTTAAAAAAATTGAGGACCAGAAAAATGTCCTCACTTTGACAAATGTCCTCACATTGTAGGGAAAATAGTGAGAATGGTCCTCAGAATGTAATAAGTACAAGAACACACACACACCTACACACACAGGCTGGTTTAACATGTTTACATAATAATTATGTTATGAAGATTCTCAGTCATCCAGGTCATGGTAATCAAATATTAATAGTAATAATATTCCAATATTAATTTTAATATTAATAAAATAGGTTTCAATGGATTTCTTTGGTTTCTTAAAGACGTTTCTCTTCTCATCCGAGGAGCTTTGTCAGTTCTGACTGGAATATGGGAGAGTCAAGCTTATAAATTGGAGCTTATTGAACTGGATCACCACCAGATGGCACCAACCGGATGGACGTCTAGGACCAGTGGGTGAAGAACTTATCAGACAGAATACTTACACAAAAAGAGAATGATGTTCTAACTAAAGAACTCCATTTCGCCATTTCTCCACAACACATCCCCACAGTAGACTTCATCACTGCCACAGAAATTGCAATAAGAATCAACAACCTAAGGGAAGCAGAAGCTCAAGGTTGCAGGAGCTATATTCTGTATACTCTGAATTATGTTATTTGCTCAACTATGTTTGGTGTTAACCTGTTTTGTTTTGCTGTAGTGAGCAACTAAAGCATTTCTCTGATGTTTCTGGGAATTTAAACAACATTAAGTCACTGAGAACTGTACAGGTGCTGGTTATAAAATCAGAATATCACAACAGAGTTGATTTATTTCAGTAATTCCATTTAAAAAGCAAAACTAGTATGCTAGGTTAATTCTTTACAAACAGACTGATGTATTTCAAATGTTTATTTTGTTCATTTTTATGATTATAAGTGACAACTAATGAAAATCCCAAATTATGTATCTCAGAATATAAATTAAGACCGAAGCAAGAAAGGAATTTTTGAAACATTGGCCAACTAAAAAGTATGAACATGAAAAGTTTGAGCATGAACAGCCCTCAGTATTTAGTTGGAGCTCATTTGGCCTGGATTACTTCAGCAATGCGGCGTGGAGTCCATCAGTCTGTGGCACTGCTCAGGTGTTGTGAGAGCCCATGCTGCTCTGATGGTGGCCTTCAGCTCTTCTGAATTGTTGAGTCTGGTGTGTTACATCATCCTCCTCACAATACTCATAGATCTTCTGAGGGGTTAAGGTCAGGTCAGCTTGCTGGCCAATCAAGAGGAGAGATACCGCGGTCCTTAAACCGGGTACTGGTATCTGGCTCTGTGTGCAGGTCCCAAGTCCTGATGGAAAATGCATCTCCATAAAGTTGGTAAGCAGCAGGGAACAAAAAGTGCACTAAAACTTCCTGGTTAATGGCTCCGCTGACCTTGGACCTCAGAAACACAATGGACCACCACCAGCAGATGACATGGCACCCCAAACCATCTCTGCCTGTGGAAACATTACACTGAACCTCAAGCAGCATGGATTCTGTTCCTCTCCTTTCTTCCTCCAGAATCTGGGTCCTTGGTTTCTAAAGAAAATGCTAAATTTCTTTGATCAGAGAACATCACTTTGGAGCACTCAGCAGCAGTCCCGTCCTTTTTGTCTTAAGCGCAGGTGAGACACTTCTGAGGCTGTCTCTTGTTCGAGAGTGGCTCGAGAAAAGGAATGCGACAGCTGAATTTGCTCAGATTATTAAAATCGGAATCTTAGATTGCAGTTTAGGGGTGGTAATCTCTTCCTGAGTGAGCCTCTGACAGCGTGGATGTTACATGATGAGGCAGCCTTGGGCTGAATAAATATACTGTTGTTATTTTTCATCTCACTGATTCTGCTTTTGTTTGTTTTGTAGCTGGAAGGAGAAGTGGGTCGTCTCTTGTTGTGTGGCCCACGTCCTCTCTGTTAATCACTGTTGTGTGTGTGTGTGTGTGTGTGTGTGTGTGTGTGTGTGTGTGTGTGTGTGTGTGTGTCCTACTGCTATATACATTAAGATGTGCTAGTGTTTGAAGATGACATTACAAGATCATAATCATAATATACCAAAATATCACATTTTAACAATAAAAAAATTTAATTTTAAACACTTAAATTATTGCATCAGGATTAAAGGTTCAGATGAAAATGTGTACTCACACGAATAATAAACATTAAAAAGCCCTAAAGACACGTTGTAATTTAGTCACATAACACATGTGTTGGAGCTGCATGCCGGGACAGTTGGCAGCACTTTTGCCTCGCAGCCAGTAGCTCACAGGTTAGAGTCCTAGCTATGGCCTTTCTGCATGGAGTTAGCATGCATGTGTGGGTTTTCCCGGCTAAGTCCGATTTCATCCCACAGTCTAAAAACATGCATGTTGAGTTCATCTGTGACTCCAAATTGTCCCTAGGTGTGACTGGTTGTGTGTCTTCCCAGTTCTGGCATGGTGGGTGCATAAGACAGTGTGTTCCAGGCCAGATGTCAGAAGGCTTTGGTGATGGTACAACGTAAAAAAAATCATTATGCTTTGGTTCTATTAAGTAGAAGGATCAGGGTGGAGCGGGTCGTCATGGGCTGGAACGGACCGGTTTGGGTCAGCGATTTCAGGAGAGTGTTTTGGTCACCATTTGGACTCTAATAGGAAGGCGGGGTAAAACCTAAATGCGTACTCGTGTAGCTGTCACAACCACTCCTCCCAAATTTGTCTCATATCATTTTGACTAATG